ATCAGAAAGCTAAGTCTCCTCCCTTCCCAACTCATTCTGTAAGTTTCTGGCTTTTTTGTTATGATGCAGTATAGACAGCTCCTTCCCCACGCACCCCATCCCCATCTCTAAGGCACTTAAAGAGACAAACATTTTTGTGCACCTACTATGGAAAGATGTGAAACATCCAGACAGAAAATTTTTTTAAGAAGTAGAGGTTTTTAGAGCTGCCTCCTCTAGGCGAGGCCACCCACGTTTGCAGGGAAGCATGCTGATGTACTGCTTTCTTACTATTTCAGAAAAAATTGTCTTCACTTATCCACTGGCTCAGAGTTCCCTTTCTTAAAGAATGGGAAGGAAGTTTTGCGTTCCCTCCTCCCCAACTAATATTCTGCACAAAACCAGATGCCCCACTCTGCTTAGTCTTCTGAGAAGGGCTCCTTCTTCTGCTTGGTTTTGTGGTTCCGCTCTCTCCTAAACACTCTTCTTCCCTGGCAGGAAGTTTTTGTGCTGCTTCTTTCGTCTCATGGGCTTCTTCGCCTTGCTATGCCATGGGAAGTCTGTTTAAACCTTTTGGGAGAAAGAGTTGATTTCCTGACTGAGGTTTTAATTGAAAATACATCCCCCTAGGGCAGGAATATAGATACCATGGTTCATTCTCTGTAATATTAAATACACTCTCCAACACTCCAGCAACTTGCACACTCACTGTCATATATGCTAGACAAATGTTATTTGATTCAATCCTCAAACCAATCCTATAATGAAGAAAGAATCTCCAAAAAGTAATGTAATGTGAACAAGGATGCAGACACCATTCATCTGTCTCCAAAGGCCAGGATTATATCACTTTGACACTAGCGTTAGTGGTCTCCCCAATAAAATTGAGAAAAACACTTTTAGTAGATTTTGGCATCAAAAGCAAAGTGCTACTTTTCTCTTTGATCCCAACACCTTTTCTAGTAGATAACCTTCAGCCCAGCCCTAGTTTCTCCATCATACTCAGGGCTCTGTTTCTGGCCCCAGTTTTCCCATGCCACGCTCCTATTCCCAAGGCCTGGTGACTGAATTTGAAGTTTACCTGGGGTTTTGTTAGGAAGCACTGTCTTCTCATTTCTCCAGCAGCATCCTCATGAGACTATGTTGAAGAGTAGATTTCTAATCCGTTTTTCATCAACCTAGTCCCATCTGCTTTCTATCTTCCAGAAGTTTCTCAACTGGTCTTGTCCACTACCAGCATTATCCTTGTTTTTCAGGGCTACTATGAGTTCATTCTTATTTTTACATCTCTTCTGTCATTTCAGTGGGATTTTGGAAGGAAAGGATCATAACATTTCCTTAATACACAATTTTGAAGCAAAAATTTTTATCTGAATTTTATATTGTTTTCTAGAATATATATTACCAGTATAACAGAGATATAAGAAGTGTTTGGAAAATAAGGAAGTGCTTCTCCTACTATGGCTTGGCACTCCAACCTAATGATGATCATCCTGAAGTCTGCTATTTCCTGGCATGATAGTTAAATCTATGAAGAAAAACAATAAAAATCCTTGGTCCTTGACCAAGTAAGTCTTCCTTGTTTCAGGCTAAATGTGGGAAGAGAAAGATCCAACAAGCTTTGGTTCGTAAATTGTCGTTCTCTGCAACTCTCTAGATATTTTGGATGGCTCTATCTCTAGGCCCAAGGACAGTTTATGACCGGACAAATATATTATTTATCTTATTTAGATGCTGCTTTTTTTATTACGAAATTTCTTTGCATTGCCAAAACAACATAATGTGATAATTTTTTTAACTTATGGTATTAATCTATATGCTGCAACCAATAAAAGTCGGGTTCCTAAGTATAACTCCATAATAAATCCACTGCTTGTACAGGAAGAAAAATATACATTAATTGAAATGTGAAGGGGTGACTCTCAACAGAAAGCCATGATAAGTGCGCGAGAGTTCACTGTCACTGTTATTTGTATCTGAGGACATCATCAATCCGCATGCACATGGCTGGAGAGAAACACCACCACACTGTAGGCATCCTCACAGTCCTCTTTGAATTTGCTTATGGTAACAGTTCAAAGGACTTGTCATCATTGATAGCTTCCTCCTAAGCTGCAAGTATTAATACCACACAGAGGTAGGTCTTCGCATCACTTCTGTGGCTCACTTTGCTTCCTAGACCCTCTCCCATTCAGCTTTCCCACAGTGGATTTGGATACCCAGGCTATTCAGAAAAGCTGGATTGAAGCAGCTTAGTTTTACAAACAATTCAATGACAGGTCTCCCCTATTTGTGACCCTGAAACACTATTTCATGTTTCAATGTTTTTAAGCAACTAAGGAGATAAATGAGCCTTCAAGAGTAGTATCTACTATGATATTCTTTAAAAACTAAGTTTGTAGGTTGTAGGATTAAAACATGAAGTAGAATATGAAGATAAGATGCAAATAGGAAGCACTAAATACATGAAAAGAGGTATTTCATTAGAATTAAGCTAGAAAAAAAATCAACACAATTCTAGAAATAAGTATTCATGGAATAACTATTATTCAGCTACTCAGTTTTGTAACTTAAAGTACATTAGCTCAAGGGGCCGGCCAAGTGGCATACTGGTTAAGTTGACACGCTCCGCTCCGGCAGCCCAGCATTCGCAGGTTCAGATTCCGGGCACAGACCTAGCACTTCTCGTCAAGCTATGCTGTGGCAGCATCTCACATAAGATAGAGGAAGACTGGAACAGATGTTAGCTCAGTGACAATCTTCCTCAAGCAGAAAGAGGAAGATTGGCAACAGATGTTAGCTCAGGGCCAATCTTCCTCACAAAAAAATAAATAAGTAAAATAAAGGACATTAATTCTTTAGTCTTCGTTGTACCTTAGAGACACTGAATTCATCATTTTCCTCACCTATTCTTATCATAGATAATAACTTATTCTCAATCAAATACATAAAACAGTTGGTTTTTAAGGAATTACTTCTCTGATGATTCTAATTGCTTATATTTTTGCTCTCCTCTATAGCAGTGAAAAATTGCTAGCAACTTACACACCAAACTGATGTTATTTGAATATCTTGCTCAGTACCCAGCATTAAGTTATTTTGATTTTGTGAGATGATATACCATGCACTTTACATTTACTGAAAAATTAAGACCATAGCCATTAGCTATTAAAAACATTTCATGTTTCAAAACTGTTAGTGGTACAATTTCTGTACCTCTAAGAAGTTATTTCAATAATTTAAAATATTAAAAATGTCACGACTACCTACTAGTGCTCATTTATACCTTAAAATAGCCTATTGTTTCTACTGCTTAGGACCTTATTATTATGCTTGGCATGTGAAGTTCCCTATAGTCTGGGACTTTTCTTACACAAATTTCCTTTCTACCACTAGTATCACGAATCTACCTTTCTAATCAAGATATTTTCACAGTGCCATGAATAGATCATGCTCATTCTGATCATCATTATTTTACTCATATTGTTTCTCAAAATACAATATCCTCATCTCTCATCATCCAACTAAATTCTACATATTATTATGATCATTCAAACGACAATGTCTACATAATTATTTAATTACTTATAAAGGAATGAAAATTAAGGCTTCATCTCATACATTCAAAAATATTAGGTACATTAAAAACTGTAAAAATTAAAATATAACACAGATAGAATATATGTAAATATCTGATTACAGAACAAGGTCTAAGTATAAAACCAATGGAAGAAATTATAAAGAAATCACTAAACTTTACAAAAACAAAGTTTCATACATTAACAATAACTATTGAACAACTTTAAAAGACAATGAACTAAATTTCTATTCAAGAAATTCTATAAGGAGACATCTTTTTTTAGCTGCCTGCTCCAAATACTTTAGAGAAAACCTAAAGGCTGTTTATAGCCAGCAAAACAAAAATAGCAAATAACATGTCTCCAAAGCTGATATTTTTAGAGCTTCTGCTCGTTTTTACTGTTTAATTCTATTCCCTCCCCTTAGGTATTCTAAACATATGGCCTTAGTTAATTTGTTCAACAAATGCTCTTATTGCACCCCAGCCACACGCCAGAGACCGTGCTAGATACCGAGGACATATTTGTTCGCCAAACAGATATGGTTCCTTCCATTACAGAACTTAAGCCTAACAAAAGATAAACATTAATCAAGAAATCACACAAATTGTGGGTTTTAAAAAAAAAGGAGCTGGCCCAGCGGTGTAGTGGTTAGGTTTGCACGCTCTGCTTCAGGAGCTCGCAGTTTGCAGGTTCAGATCTTGGGCGCAGACCTACACACCACTCATCAAGCCATGTTGTGGCAGTGTCTCACATACAAAATAGGGAAAGATTAGCACAGATATTAGCTCAGGGACAATCTTCCTCACCAAAAAAAGAAAAAAAACTCCACCATATAGAGCACTATGACAACTTATAAAAAGGACTTCACCTATTGGGGATATGGGATGTGTATGCATCCAGGAAGATTTCCCTAACAAATTCATATGTATGTAAAACACGAAGCTCTTATAATTGCAGGGGCTATATCTTAAATATTTTGTATCTTTCTGCATCTCACACAGTAAGTCTTCTATACTTGTTAAATGATTTATTCCCATTAAAATTTGAGGCTATTCTTATTAACTAGCCTTTTTTCAATGGTGTGCATAAAGTCAGCTTTAGGATCACCCATTCTCTAGGATAGGGGCTGGGTCCATGGCTGTGTGGTTAAGGCTGCACATTCTGCTTCGGTGGTCCAGGGTTCTCCAGTTCAGATCCTGAGCATGGACCTACACACTGCTCATGAAGCCATACTGTGGCTGCATCCCACATGGAGGAACTAGAATGACTTGCAATTAGGATATACAACTATGTACTGGTGCTTTGGGGAGAAAAAAAAAAAAGAGGAAGATTGGCAACAGATGTTAGCTCAGGGCCAATCTTCCTTACCAAAAAAATTTAAAAAGCATACCATAAAAAAATAAATAAAAATTTTAAAAAATACTCTAGGATACTTAAAGATAATTTAGGAAGACAGATACTTTTATTCTTACAAGATTAAACAACTTAAACCTTACCCAGGTTATAAAGGGATCTCAGGATCAATCTTGTCAGATTTAACGACAAACACTATTTAAACATCAAAGGAATGACAAACATTTATATTTCTTAAAAAGAATTCACATAATTTACATACTAAAAATAACGTAGGTATTAAAAATTGTTTCACTAACAGTACATATAGGCTATAAAAACATTAAAAGTTTTTTAAAAGCACATATTTTTACACTGTATATCCTGGAAGTTTATTTATTACTAATTCACAAATATCTCTGCATTGCTTAGAAATATTTAGTGAACCAACTTCATCACTGTCTTCTTCAGAGTGATCTGAAGTACTCCTATCCAAGACATTAAGTTCTAGTTCTGATAAATTAGATGGCAGATAAGAACTCACTTGAGATGTCCGAGGTGACTGGCTTTTCTCTAAAGAATTGCAATCAGTTCTTGTTTTACGTTTAACAGAGATGTCTTGACCCCTCTTTGCAAGTTTAGAATTATGCATACTATTGTGGTCTATTTGGTTTTCTTTCTCCTCAGTCCAGTGTGATGAAGATAAATCACTGGTGGAGATGTTAGATGCTTCCTCCAAACTTTTATCTTGAGCCTTTGAAATATGAGATCTTTTGTATGAGTGTACTGGTGATCCGGCTGAAAAAGGAGGGGTAAGAATAGAACTCTTCTCACTGTTATTTTTCCTCATGGACAATCTTGTTTCACTAGACTTACTTGTATGTTGACTATGTTTTGGATCTTCTGCCCCTAGACTGCTATCACAAGCTTGTGAAATTCCGCTGGTGTCCTCAGTGGCACAGAAGTCTTCGGAATAGCAAGGGCTAGTGAAGTCATCTGAATACTTTAGTTCTGAGATGCTTTCCGAGCAACTGTTTTTACTTGGCTTATTTTCACTCATGTCAGCAGTAAGAATGTCATTATCAGTGGTTTTGACCTGCTTATCAGTTATTTCTTTATCTACTATAATTCTGTCGACAATTGCAACCTGTTGGAAAACACATGGACTTGGGACTTTCATTTCCACTTTTCCTCCAAAAATATCTGTATGAGTAAACCTTTCTGGGACAATGGTATTTTCAGGACTCAAAATTTCTTCCAATGAACCATTATTGGTTGTATTTTCACCAAAATCAATTGTGTTTTCACTTATACATTTCAGCTTAGTTTCTTTAGTTGTGCTGGGGTTCTCAAAAACTCCACTAATTTGCTTTGAGTTATCAGTTTTTTCAGCAAAAGATGCATCTGATTCTAAGTACTTATCTTTAAGTAGTTGATACAGCTCCTGATGTTGTTCTGCAAAGCTTAATATTTTAACTTTGGACGATGGATTTCTGAGTTTTGCACCCAACATCTGTGTTTGCATTTTTCTATATTTTTCTCTCTTTTCATGTACTACCAACATCTCAGGATTTGTTTGCTTTAGACGCAGTTTAAATGTATTTGTTAAACCATAAAGTAGCTTCCCCCTTGGAACTCTTTTTGGGGGAGTACCACTGTTCTTTTCAAAACATTTACCTTTCTTTTCAACTTGGTGCTTTTTACACTGAAGACTCACAGACTTTTTGTTTTCCCCCAAAGAAAGCTCATCCTTCTTAAATTCAGATTTACATGTGGATTTGGTAGAAGTTTCTGGGGCCTTCTTATCCTCAGTTCTATATAACCAGGCTAAGTGAGGATGGACATGAGTAGGGCTTGCCATGGGTTGGTTGTATAACAAGGACAACTCAACCAACAAGGCATTTAACAAAGGCAGCTGCCTTATCATATTAATTCCATCTTCCTCAGTTTGAGGGTGACTCATAGCTTGATTACTTGCTCCCATATCCTGAACACGTGGAGGATTTATAAGTATTGGAGGCTTCTCATGTATTGCAGAATTTGTATGTTTTACAGGATTAGTATGTGTTGGGGGACTTACAAGTTTTTCTTCTGGAAAAGTACCATTCAATTCCTCAGGTACATTCATTTCATGCTTAATGGTGATTTTACCCAGTACAGGAGGTGTCTTTTCTTGGGCCAGATGAGTGTAGTACAGAGGAGGAGGGCAAAATGTGTTGGTTTCAATGTCCAACTCTGTGACTTCCTGATTTTGGGGGCTGATGCTTCTCACACCAACAGCATTTGAACAAATAGAGGTGGTTTTGCCATTCTCCACAAAACCAATGTTATCAGAGTTGGTCTTACTATGAAGAGCTATTTCTTTCAAATCTTTCTGGGTCTTTGGGATTTTTAAACTCACGGGAGGCCCACCAGCATCTCTTGGGCTTGGCTCTGAGTTCGGCTGCTGTAGCTGCTGTTTTTCCTGCAGGGTTTGGGTGCTGATCTCCACGGCCTTCCGCCCCTCCACTCGCTCCACCCCACCTCCTGTGCAAGCGACTGGCCGCTCAAGATGGCCCAGCAAGCTGCTCCCCAGGTCAGTCAGGCGGTAGCCCAGGCCAATGTCCCCAATCCGCTCCCCCACTTGGTTATGCAGAGGGAAACTTCCACGATGACCCTGGGAGCAGCCGGAGGAGGCCGGCCCCAGCACCTTGCGGGCCGCGGAGGCCAGAGAGATGCTGCAGGCGCCCAGGAGCCGCGGGGCAGGGCTGGGGAGCCCGGGAGGCAGCTGCAGCAGCAAGGTGTAGAGCGGGCTCCGCAGCAGCAGGCGGTGCAGGATGGCGGGGTGCAGGCGGAAGAGACAGGACTTGCCGCGACCGAAGCTGACCAGGCCAGGCCGGGGTTCCGGGGCGGGGGCGGCGGGGCCGCCGGGAGGGTAAACGAGCAGCGTGGGGAAGTCCGACAGGCGGAAGGCCACGGCGGGGCACAGGCTGCACGATGGCCGCCGCGGCGCGGCCTCCTCCCCCACCTCCTGCTCCTCCTCCAAATCCTCCTCCTCCTCCGCCGCCGCCGCCTCCAGCTCCTCCTCCACCGCGACCACGGCCGGCGGCAGCGGCAGCCCGACTTCAAGACGCACCCAGTCCACGAGCAGCTCCAGTGAGAAAAGCCGCTCCGACGCGGCGGCCGCCATTGCTGTTGCCCCTGGAGACGCTGCCGCCGCGCTCTAAGCGAACAGAAAGCCCAAGCCCTTGGTTCTCGCGAGAGGTAAGGGGAAGCCGGCGCCTGTGTCTGCTCTCTCGCGAGACTTGAGAGGACGCCACTGCAGGTCTGGGTGGTGGGTTTCGTGGGAGTTTTCGCTGCTCGGTGTGTTTTGCTTTGCGGACTTGTGTTAACACGATTCTCTATGGTAATACCGAGGCTACGAATGGCAAAAAAAAGGAGGCTTATGTTTTGGTTTTGGTCACGTTTTTATCACATGCTGTGCAACTTTGGGGTCAGGTGAAATCTATCTGAGGAATATTGGAAGTAAATCAGGACCCCTCCCCACTCCTCCACCGATCCCTCACTCCCCTTTCCAGACCCCAGGCTGCAGACAGTCAATTGACTGTCCATGGTCGGCCCTCTCTGGCTGGTCGTCTACCCAAAAGATGATTTCACTGCTGTAAGGCGGCCTGGGAGCCTTTGGGTAAATTAGGGTAGCACTGAGACAGTCACAGTGAGTGCGGCCACGTTTCCAGCTGAGCAATCACCACGTGTGGGAGTAATGTTACTGGTTCCGTTCAACAAAAGAAATATATATACCTAAACACAGAGTTGGGGGAGGGGAGGAGATCTTAGAGCACTATTCTGGATTTTATTACTGTTTTTGATGAGGAAAATTAGCCCTGAGCTAACATCTAGGCCAATCTTCTTCCACTTTCTATGTGGGTTGCTTCCACAAGGTTGCTGACAGTGGTGTAGGTCCATGACTGGGGTTGGGACCAAGGAATGCGAGCCCTGAAGCAGAGTGCACTGAACTTAACCACTATGCCACAGGACTGCTGGCCCCTAGCCTGGGTTTTTGAGGAGACATGCTTTAACCTCAATGAGCTAGCCAGCTAGTTTGAAACCAAAGCTGATGGTGGAAAGCCTAGAATGACATAGTAAGAAATTTGGACTTTATTCTGTATAAGTTGTTTTGAGTGAATAAGTGTGGTCATATCAATGTTTTAAAATGTAGCAGTCCAAATACAAAGGATGGATTCTTCTAATAAATCAAATGCAGAACAATCTATTGCAGTTGTCTAAGTGAGAGATACTTATGGGCTAAACTTGGTCAGGGTCAGTAGAGATGAAAGAGAAGTGACAGATAAAGAAGCATTTGTGATAGCGGAATTTATAATTGGGTGACTAGGAGAGAGAAGTTATAGGTGAAAATTTTCTGCTACTGAAGGAGAAAACATTGAGGGGGCACAGACTTGATTTTTTTTAAAGTTACTTTGGGTTTGGAGGAGATGTAGAGTTTGAGGTGCCCGCTAGACATTTTGTGAATATGTTCAGCGTTAGACAACTTTATAATTTATAGTTCAACTATATTGCATGGAAGCTCAGAGAACCTTGTGAAGCTCAGGAGGAATTCAGGATTGGAGAGATTGGTGCTTTAGTGTCAAGACCTGTGGGAGGTTTCATTGCTGTATATAAATAGAAGCTCCTACTCTCGGCCTTGAGAATCTTACCATCTACTTGCAGAAGAAACATTTATCAAGTGACATGCTTAATGGATGGATGATGTAGAGCAATGAAAAACAACATATTCATAAGTGAACAGCAATGAGATATTGAGTCCCCATGTGCCAGCCTAACACAGTGGATAAAATTCCTCATAGAAGACTTCAGCAGTAAATGTTGTGACTAAGATTAATAATGTGAAATATTAGCACTCGGATGTCTCCTAGGTACAGACAGGGTAGCCAGTGTCCCTCTTCTGTAAGCACATTGCTTCTGTAATATGTCAAGTTTCTACAGGGATAAGAAATTATCTACCCAGATACTCTACGTGACGGGTATTGCAATATGTGAATAATATTTTATCGTTGTAAATAATGATAAATGTAACAAGTAGAACTTTTACTAAGACAATTACAAATTTTCTATGTTCATAGACCACACATGGAGAAATAGCACAGGGCAGTGGCTGAGAGTCTGGATTCTGTAGACAAACTGCCTGGCTTAAAGCCTGGCTCTGTGACCACAGAATAGTTTGGTAATTTGTGAATCATTTTCCTCATCCAAAAAATGAAGGAGTTATAGTATCTACCTCATAAAAAATACTGTAAGTATTAAATGAGTTAATATTCACAAAATTCGTAGAACAGTGCCTGGCACATGGTAAATACTTAAATAAACTGAATACATAGTACATACTTAAAATAAATATTATATATTATTTGCCATATAGCAAACTTTTTAGCTGAGTTTTTTAAAGCACTCAGCTATTAGTTGGAATAAATAATTTATCTGATATGGGCCTATTGTTTTTGATCTGTAAAAGTTTATATGCTCTGTGTTCTGCCTTTCATGCAGTAGCCAGCTGTTTTTGTCACAGGTAAAGGCAAGGCTAGGCAAGAGACTATGGATTGATGCTCGTTAATACTTTCAGATATAAATCTGGCGTGCAGTGTTAAGAAGTATGAATTTTTATTTTTTTGAGGAAGATTAGCCCTGAGCTAACATCTGCTGCCAATCCTCCTCTTTTTGCTGAGGAAGACGGGGCCTGAGCTATCATCCATGCCCATCTTCCTCTGCTTTGTATGTGGGATGCCTGCCACAGCATGGCTTGCTGAGTGGTGCCATGTCCGCACCCAGGATCTGAACTGGTGAACCCAGGCCGCCGAAGTGGAACATGTGAACTTAACTGCTGTGCCACCAGGCTGGCCCCTAAGAAGTATGAATTTTATTGTGAGGGATTTGGGAAGTTATTTGTGGGGGTAGCCTGAATTAGGATGTTTGCAGTGGGCATAGAGAGAAATGATGTAGGAAAGAGATTCATAGGACTGGTTGATTGCGTGGATTTGAAGTGTGAGGGACTGGAATATGGAGCCCAGGTTTCTACTCTAGGCGACTAGGTAGATGGGACAATAAAGAGAAGCAAGTTTTTTGTAGTTCTTGTTAGAGAAGGAGGTGAGGGAGGCCAGAAGTGAAAACTCTGAGCTTCGGTGTCTGATATGTTGGGTTTTAAGTATCCCACATACATTCAGGTGAAAAGGTATGGGTTAGATATATGAATCTGAAAGTTGGAAGAGAGATCTGGGGTGGAAATATGGATTTAGGAGACATCAAGATGGAGCTCGTAACCTAATTTCCTCATATAAGACCTAAATAAGTATAGTGATGAAACGTTATTTTCTCATTTTATGTGAGTTATGTTGGGACTGTGCATCCTGCAAGAATTTTGGCTTCATTTCTATTGGATTGGCAGGAGCAGATATGATGCTAACTACCTTTTCTGGGGGAGTAGTTTTAGGGTGAAAAGGGACAAATCAAGTCAGAAGCATTAACTAAGGTAGTATAGCTGCAAGGCATGATGAGACTTCAATAATTTTGAGAGGAAACAGCAACTGGATTAACAGAACTGATTGAGCTGTGGGTCTGGCTCTTTGAAGGCAGACGTGTGTGTGATATCATAAGGGCTGTGGACCTAAAGGGGATAGACCCAGCAGGGGGATGGTTTAGCAGGAGTTGTAACAAAATGGCAGTAGTGGAGTTAAGTGGGAGAGCAGCAGCATATCCTGGGTGGCCAGTCTAGTTTGGAACAGAAATGCAGGCATGTGGAAAAGATCAGCTCCTGGAGGAGCATGCGGGCTGGAAAAGCCATGTACATATCACGGCTCCAACCTTCTCTACTCAGCTTCAGAAAACGGAAAGTAGCTAAGGTGCTCTTGAGGAAAGCGAGGCAGCCATCCAGTTTTGTGGCCTGAACAAATACTGATTAGGAGGAGTCTGTAGCTCAGTGACCATAAAACTGTCCAAGACTTACTGTAAAGGCACCAAATACTAATGCTAATCCCCATTCCTTGGGGCATACTGCTGCCTATAGACTTTCTGGCTTAGTCAGGATTAGCTCAAAAATCAGGTAGAACCACCTATAATTGACATAGACTCATGGGACTGGAGATGCCTGCCAGGAGGAGCATCTAAAGCTGAGGACAGAAAGGGGCTGAGTGGAGCTAACCAGGGGGAAATGGAATCCAACATCTCTTCCTGAAGAATGATTATTTACACCAGTGCTTCCTTTTCTCCACTTAAAAGAATATAATCTACAAAGAGCTTACAGCTAACATCACACTTAATGGTGAGTAAATAGAAGCTTTCCCACAAAGATCAGGAGCAAGGCAAGGATGTCCCCTTTCACCACTGCTTTTCAACATTGAACTGGAAGTCCTAGCAGTAAGACAATAAGAAAAGAAAAGGAAATAAAAGGTATATAGATTGGAAAGGAAGAAATAAAATTATCTTTGTTCACAGATGACATGATCATTTATATAGAAAATCCAAAAGAATTGAAAAACTCTTGGAACTAATCAATAATTATATCAAGGTTACAGGATATCAGGTTAATATACAAAAGTCAATAGCTTTCCTATTATCATAGCAATGAACAAGTGGAATTTGAAATTAAAAACATAATACTCTATATATTAGCACTCCCCAAAATGAAATACTTAAGTAGAAATCTAAGAAATATGTACAATATATATATGAGGAAAACTAGAAAACTCTGACAAAAGAAATCAAAGAAAAACTAAATAAAGGGAGAGTCCATGTTTATGGATAGGAAGGCTCAATATTGTCAAGATGTCAGTTCTTTCCAACTTGATCGGTAGATTCAATGCAATGCCAATCAAAATCCCAGCAAGTTGTTTTGTGAATATCAACAAACTGCTTCTAAAGTTTATATGGAGAGGCAAAAGACCTAGAATAGACAACACAATACAGTCATGCATTGCTTAATGACGGGGATACATACTGAAAAATGCATCATTAGGTGATTATGTTGTGTGAACATGATAGAGTGTGCTTAAACAAACCTCCATGGTATAGCCTACTACACACCTAGGCTATATGGTACTAATCTTGTGGGACCACTGTCATATATTCAGTCCATCATTGACCAAAATGTCATTATGCAGCACATGAGTATCGAAGAACAAAGTTGGAGGACTGATTCTATCCCACATTAAGACTTACTATAAAGCTACAGTAATCAA